GGCATTCTCTCCCAGCTCTCTAACTCACAGATCATTGTTGGACTTCCCTGTTCAGCTGGGCTGATGAGCTGGCGCCTTGGCTCCTCAGCCAACCCCAGCCTTCTCCCGGGCCCAGGACACCTGCGGGTCCTATGGAGGAACAGACTCAGGTGGCACTGAGACAGGAGGCAGGAGTTGGCTTGCTCCAGATGCGAGCAAAAGGAATCCCAGTGTATTTTCTGATTTCCTTCAGGTCTTGACTCAACTAGGAGTTCACTGGGGTCCTTCCAGGTGGGATACCTGCTCCACGCACCACCCTCCCTCACAGGCCCATAGCCTGTCTGACTCCCCTTCCTTATTTCGCCACAGCCTCCTCCGGGGTCTCCCCTAGCAGGAGGAAGCACAAAGAAGCCAGAGCTTTTTGTGTCTGTTCACTTTCAGCACCTAGAAAACATTATATACAGAGATATTGATAAATATTTTGAGATAGTTCTAGAACAAACAGTTAGGCCCACTTCTTGAAGCCCTCTCTGTGCACTGGAGGTTTTCTGAACACTCTTAACAAAGCTTAGCTCGGCGGGTCACGACCACCTTGGGAGGTGAGGCAGACATTCCCCGGTGTCCTGGAGGGGCCAGGGCTCTCCACATGCCCCCAGGACACCCAAGAGCCGGGGATGGTTGGGTCCCTTACGTAAATGACATAGTATTTGTGTCTGACCTAAACACACCCTGCTACCTAGTTAAAACAATCTGTCGCTTACTCATTCGACCTAATGCCACGTAAATGCATGCAGAGAGTTATTATCTGCATTGTTTAAGGAGCTAGGACAAGAACAAAGTCTGTACATGTCCCGGACGGGTGCAATTTAAAAATATTTCTAATCCATCTGCGAACGTGGAATCCACAGAAATGGAGGATTCCATTTCTCTGGAAATATTGACGTTTTGGTTTTCTTTTAAAAGACAGACCTACTCGAAAGAGTTACAGCAAGAGAGGAAGAGACACATCTCATCCGCTGATTCACTCCCAAATGACTACAAAACTAGGCTGAAGCCAGGACCCCAGGAGCTTTAACTGGCTCTCCCACAAGAGTGACAAGGGCCCTCTTGGGTCATCTTCCTCTATTTTTCCCAAGGCCAATGGCAAGGAGCTGGATCAGCTGGGGCATAAAGCAGTGCGTGTCCACATAGGATGCTGCATCATAAGCAATGGCTTTGCCCACTACAGCACAGCCTCAGGCCTGATGTTTGCCACATGAGGATGTTGAACCTCACAGACTTAACCACTCACCCCAAGTCACACCATGTCCCCAGGGCAGGGCAGGGGCAGCACTCTGACTGGCTCCAAGGCCTCTGTCACTGCCTATGTGCAGCTGAAGGAGAGGAGAGGGCAGAAAGGGAGAGAGAAAGGGGCCATAGAAGCCTCTGGAAGAAACCATTTAGCGCTCAAGACCTTCGTGCTGCCCAGGAGAACTTTCTGGAAGAACAGGGACACTGCCCTGTCTGGGACAGCAGCCAGCAGCCACAGCAGTCTGGCGCTACAAGTGACCAGTACAACTAAAAAGCCAATTTGTTTAACCCGGAAGGGATTGCAGTTAATTTGACATGTGGCTGGCAGCTGTGTGTTAGAGAGCACAGCTTTAGACCCAGGGTGCATGTGGGGACCAAGCGTGCCCCTGGCGGAGCCCATGGCAAGCAGGCCTGGTGGCTCAGGGAAAGGGCAGGGAGAGGCTAGGGGTGCTGGCTTAGAGTAGTGAGCAAGCAGCCTGGTTTCAGGGGGAGTTAGGGAGATCCATACAGACACTTGGCGTGTGGGGGTGGGAACGAGGTATAAGGAAATTCAGTGTTGCCCATGACCTTGGGCCTCAACCAGACTGCTGCTTCTCTCTCCCCAAACAACGTGCGGGAGACCCGTCGCACACCAGGCCAGCATGCAGCGAGCAGGTGACAGAGACCAGGTTTTCACAGTTCCCTGCAGATTTGCACTCAGCCACCCTCAGGCTCCTTCTGGGTGTGATCTCTGCCATTCAGGCCTCATGGCCTGCATAGTGCTGCATAGTGCTTGTTTGGGTGAACAAACAAGGACGGGGCCAGAGCCAGCAAGACTCTTTGCCCAGAAGTCTAGGGGGTAGGAGGTATGGGGAGGGACCCCATTCAGGTCTTCATTCACACCAGCTGGGTGGACATTCCCAACCTGACAATGTCACAAGGGACAGCTGACCAAAAGGACACTTGCAGGCCTCAGCCCTTGGTGTTCACATTTAATAGAACTGGGGTAATGAGGCTCGTGCGACTGGTATCCCACAGCAGCACCTGTTCGTATCCTGGCTTTTCCACTTCGCTTCCAGCTCTCCAGTGATGGCCTGGAAAAGTAGTGGAGAATGGCCCAAATCCTTGGGACCCTGCACCCATGTGGGAGACCCAGAGGAAATTCCTGCTCCTGGATTCAAACTGGCTCAGCCATCTGGGGCGGGGGGAGGGGGAAAGCCAGCAGATAGAAGATCCTTATGTCTCTCCTTCATTCTGCACACAATCTGCCTCTCAGATAAAAATAAATTTTTTTTTCACATGGGGCAAGCACCAACAATCAGCCATTTTACCAAGGTACACCCCAAATGCGGTGCCAGGGCCAGAGGCACATGATTTAGGGTGACGACAGGGTCACAGGTCAGCCTTGGGGGAAGCCAAAGGTTGCTCTGGTGAGAGAATCTGTTATGGAAACAAGACTTTGAGACTGGGTCCCATGCGGTGTGGCCTGTCGGTTAAAGTCCTCGCCTTGAACGCACCATAATCCCATTTAGGCACCGGTTCTAATCCCGTCAGCTCCACTTCCCATCCAGCTCCCTGCTTGTGGCCTGGGAAAGCAGTGGAGGAAGGCCTAAAGCCTTGGGACCCTGTACCCGTGTGGGAGACCTGGAGCAAGTTCCTGGATCCTGGCTTCGGATCGGCATAGCAATGGCCATTTGCAGTCACTTAGGGAGTGAATCATCGGATGGAAGATCTTCCTCTCTATCTCTCCTCCTCTCTGTATATCTGACTTTGCAATAAAAATAAAACAAATCTTTTTTTTTAAGACTTTGTGACCTTCAAAAAGTGTGACGTGAGCTTGTGTGGAGCCCTAGTCCACAGAGCAGAATCCACTGGGAACTTGAGTTTCCTCTGTCCAGGCCTTCCAGGCTCAGCCTTGTGACTGCCAGATACCTGAGTCCCAGCCAGTCCAGTAGCCTGGGCAGCAGACACACCTGGGCAGTCCTGGTGGCGCTGGCTGCATTTGCAACAGCTGAGCCCGCAGCGAGCTGAGGGACGTCCCCTAGGCCAGCTTCAGCGCAGCCACCTGCTGCACCTCACTCCTCCAGAGCTGGAGCCACAGTCATTTGCTCCGTGCTTCCGGCCCAGCTTCTTTATTCTCACTCTCCAGTTGGCGCGCATGCCGAGCATGTGTGGGTGTGGGAGAGGAGCTGGGTATTTCGATGGCTCTGCATTTTCCCTCCGAATGGGGAGGTCTTTCACTTCCTCCCAGCTTCTTGGTTCTGCCTTTCACAGGCAGTCCGGGCCTGGGACCCGCCACCCCCATCGTCCCCCTCCTTCCTGAGCAGTAGGAAAATGGAAAACTGGTTGTAACAGGTGGCAGCTGGCTGGGGGCCACATGAAGAGCTGAGGGAAGCAGCCCCCGGGTTGGCAGCCACCAGGGCAGGTGCCCCGGGATGCAGGTGCCCCATGTTGGGCTGGCCTAGACTGCCACTTCCCCTTCTTCTGCTGCTCCAGGCTTCAGCCAGAGGAGAGTGACTTCTCAGTTGGGCCCCAGTCACCCCCTCCCAGCTTGGCCTCCCAGTTGAGCTCCTCCTTAGGGAGTCTCGGAGCTACCCGGAGCACAGGCTCTAGGGAGAGGAGAACTTCTACCACTAAACTTGAAACCTTCCCTTGTCCACCTCTCGGACCCTCCAGAGTTTGGAGAGTTAGGGCGGGGAGGGGTCTCTCACCAGCGTGTTGCGAAACAGATCTCCTTCCTGAGCACAAATCGCCCAGAAATGACACAAGTAGGGCACTGCATCCCGGCAGGGACAAACCCAGCAGAATGTTTCCTCGCTCAGGGCAAGAGTGCATGGGGCTGGCAGAGCTTTCAGCCAGGACAGCCGCCAGCAGCTGCTCCACCAGCCCACCTGCTGTCCTCTGTTTTCCACCCCATCCTCAAAGAAGCCTTCAGACCTCAGCATGAACCTGGGCACGGGCAGCTGCCCAACTGCTCCAGAGGAAAGACCCGAGATAGGCAACTGGGCCCGCAGCCAGAGGGCAGGCAGGCGAGCGCACACTCCACGGGAGCCAGAGTGTGGCTCCCGCCCCCATTCCATCCTCAGGAGCTCCAGGTCCTGCACCAGCCTCCCTCTGCACTCAATTCCTGGGAAGAGAGCAGCCTTCGGCTGGCTACAGCTGGTGCCACTAAAGCGTCTGTCACCGAGGGAGGCTCTGTGACTCAATGCCATGATGTCAGACCCTTCACAGTCAGGGTACTGTCATCCGCACTGACACCCGGCGGGCGAGCCGGCGGGGGTCGGGGTGAACCAAGAAGGGGTGCAACACACATCCATAAGAGCAAGGGAGGGACGGAGGATCGGTCCACAGGAGCTGCGGGAAACAGCTGCCCCCGAGGGCGAGCCGGCGCGCTTCTCCCCCAGCTTAGAGCGTCTGAGGGCACAGCTGTGTGAGACACAACGGGGGGCAACCGGGAAAGAGTCGGGTTTCCGAGAACACACCTAGACCTGCACGCAAACCGCAGAGGGGCTCCCCAATCACAGACCAGACTGCGCGCGACGCCCACGGCCGAGGACGCAGCAGGGGGCGCACGCGTGCCAGCCGGGTCCGGGCCTGCACCTTGTGCCCGCGGGGAACCCAGCTCGCCGAGGAAAAAGGGGGGGCTTGTCCCACCTTCTAACTTGCCCCCTCCCAACCTCTGGGCGGATTGCGGCTGATTCCCCATCCACCCCGCTGCCCGAGCCTTTCCCTCGCAGCGCGGAAGCCCTTACCCAGCGTGAGGCAGGCCCCCGGGATCAGCGACGCGGCCCCCGCGGCCAGCAGGGCGGCCAGCAATGCGCAACGAACTGCCAGCTTGCTTCCTCCTCCGAGGGTCACCCCCATTCGCAGAAAGGCGGGCGGAAACAGAGCGGCCACGGCAGGGTGGGCTCGGGCCCCGAAGGCAGCTCCCATGCCCCGCAGGCGGGCGCGAGGTGCACGGCGCGAGTCCCTCGGCCCGGCGCGGCGCTCCGCGCTGCTCCCGGAGGCCGAGCTCGGTGTCAGCGCGACTTCCCACTTGCACATGACTCAGAACCGCCGACGAGTGCTGGCAACGCTGGAAAACATTTGAGGAACTCGCGCTGGAGCGTCTCTTGGCGGTCCCAGGGTGCAGTTACGAAAGCCCAGCCGATGGCGCAACAGCCCCGCGCCCCGGCCCACCGGAGGGGGTGGCTTCCTGCCGCCGCGCCACACCTGAGCCGCAGGGCCGGAGACGCGAGCCCCTCCCTCAGGCCTGCCGCCCGGGGGGAGGGGGACGAGCCGCGGCGTGCGCTTGTTGGCTTTTGCTTTTTTTGGTTTCGTTGAGTAGTAGGTCTGGGCTGTGACTGAGGCACCTGGGAGTGTCCTCGGGGAGACGGTGTGCCTCGGCTCCACGTGATGAAGCTGCACTCGGCTGCGCGCCCTGGGGATACCTGGGGAGCCAAACCCCAGGAATCTCGGTCCAACTCCACACAATTCGGATTTCATGAGTTCGGAGTGCGGCTTCTCACAAGCAGAGCAGAAGCCAAGGGGAAACAAAAGGTTTTGGGTCGCTCGGATAGACCCCTGTCCAGCGACGCATCAGCTGCTGTGACTTCAGTGCGCAACCGGAGCCTCACTATTCTCCACTGTCGGAAATAAAGCACCCGGTCCTGGACAGGTTACAGCGAAGATTCTGCAAGCTGGCATCTAAACCTGTCTCAGGTTCTGGGGGGCTGCAGGTGTTTCCTCAGTCGGCAGAGCCTGCACACACATATTCCCTGCCAGAGGGACAGAAACCAGCACTTGCCTTTCACAAGTGACCACAAGGACTGCCCAAAGAGGGCCCATCCAGGTGTCCCACACAGCCTGAAACTGAGACGGTGGCCCCAGCGCCAAATCTGGAGGGAAAGAAAACAGGCTAAGTGTGGGCTAGGAAGCTTCTAGACCAGCAGTCACTCATGAGAAGGCGTGTTGCCACTGTGGGCTTCAGGCCCCAGGGCTCCTGAAGTACAGTCCTCAGACCATCCACATTCAGCATCCCAGACAGGACCGGCACACAAACGACCCACATCAGGATGGGGGCTTGTCTGGGTGGGCTGACTCCAAGGCGCCACAGCAAATGAAAGTTACAGGTGCATCTGCAGGGAGACTCAGAAGAGGCTTCTGGCTCCTGGCTTTGGATCAGCTCTGGCTGTTGCAGTCACGTGGGGAGTGAACAGCAGATAGGTCTTTCTGTCTCTCCTGTCTGGAAATCTGTGTTTCTAATAAAGATGGATACATCTTTATTTAAAAAAAAAATAAAAGGAAGTTGGAGGTGTTTTGGCCACATCCCACTCTCCTGCTGCTTCAAACAGAGCTGCTGCGGGGCTGGGGCGGCTTCCCAATGCAGCCACCCCATCCTCTCCGTGGAACACACAGATCTGAGAATAATCACAGAGGGGCCACAGGCTGCTGCCAGCCCCAAACCGGAAGGCTGCTCGGGGGCCTTTGGCAAAGATAGAATTTCCTTATTTTTTGAAGAAAATTGCTATTTATTTATTTGAGAGGCAGAGACACAGCGTGAGGGAGTCACCCTGCTTTGGTTGGCTGTGCAAATGGCCACAGCAGCCGGGGCTCTTTGCCCAGGGCTCTCCTCCCCGGGCTCTCCCACCTGGCTACCGGGGCCACAGTCTCTTGAGTCATCACCACTGCCTCCCAGGGCCTGCTGCAGTCAGGAACCAGGAACCGAACCCTGGCACACTGATGTGAAAGGCAGGTGTCATAGCTGCTAGACCAAATGGCTGCCCCAGGGAAGAGCTTAGCAGAGGGGTACAGAAGCCAAGAAGAGGGGAGAGAGAGCGTAGTGGCTAAATCCTCGCCTTGCTTGCATCAGGATCTCAAATGGGCACCTGTTCGAGTTCCAGCTGCTCCACTTCCCATCCAGCTCCCTGCTTGTGGCCTGGGAAAGCAGTGGAGGACCTCCCAGAGCCCTGGGAACCTGTACCCGTGTGGGAGACCTGGAGGAAGCTCCCGGTTCCTGTCTTCAGGCTAACCCAGCCCCAGCCATCTGAAGAGTGAACCAGCAGTTGAAAAAGCTCTCTTTCATGTGTGTATGTGTGTGTACTCTTTTTCTCTCCCTCTCTCCATGTAATTCTGACTTACAAATAAATAGTTTTATCATTAAAAAAGCAGTAGCTGTGTCCATTTCCCATTATGTCCCCAGCTCCTAGGTTTGGTCCACGTAGCCCAAGCTGCCATGGGCTTTTGGGGAGTCATCCTGTGGGTGTATTTAATAAATAACTTTTTTAGTCTTAAAGATTTTTTTTTTATTGGAAAGTCAGATTTACAGAGAAGAAAGTAATGCAACAAGATGGAAGAATCCACCATGGGGGGGGGAGCGGATTTTGGGGAGGGGAGGGGGGAATCCCAGTGCCTGTAAAACTGTGTTGCATGATGCAAAGTAATCAATAAAAAAATTTTTTTTAATTTAAAAAAACAAAGAGAGAAGAGACAGAGAGGAAAATCTTCCATCCGCTCATTCGCTCCCCAAGTGGTCAAATCAGCCAGAGCTAAGCCTATCCAAAACCAGGAGCCAGGAGTTTTTCCCAGGTCTCCCACGTGGGTGCAGGGTCCCAAGGCTTTGGGCTGTCCTCCATCGATTTCCCAGGCCACAAGCAGGGAGCTGGATGGGAAGTGAAGTAGCCAGGACATGGACCAGCGCCCATATGGGAATCCAGCACATGCAAGGTGAGATTTAGCCACTGAGCCATCATGCTGGGCCCAAGAAGTAACTTTTTAAGATATGTTTATTTTTATTTGAAACATAGATTTTACAGAGAGAAGGAGAGATGGTGAGAGAGAGGTGTTTCCTTGCTTACCCCACCCGCCTGCCCTGCCGCTCCCCTGCCTCCCTGCTTCCCTGGAATCTTATCAACCACAAGATCCTACCAGGTCCTCCAGTTGTGCGGGCTGTGTTTGCTAACCTGCTTTCCATGTCACCTCATAAAACTCATCTCCGTATCCACCCCCACTGCCGCGCAGCAGAGCCGGGCCCATGGAAAGTGCATTTATCTGGGAGTCGTTGTGGCCTCTTCCCCTGGGGAAGAGGGGAGCGCAGCGGGGCTGAACTCAGGCTCCCTGACCTCTCTCCAGCCCTACACAAAGCAGAAGTTCAGAAGTCTCAGGCTAACATTCCAAGGTGTTATGGAAAGTACTGACAAGAGAGGGAGGAGGCACACCTATATGGTTCAGCCTGACCTGCCTTCACCCAGACCTGACTACTAAAGCCAGCATGGTGGGGTCACCAGGTAGGGGACACTGGTGGGATCACCAGGGTCTCCCGTCTCCCAGGGGGAGGGTGACAAGACACAGGCTTTTGGCACTGGCTGGAGCCACAAAGGGGAATGGGGGGATCTGGTCTGCAGAATCAGGGCTGGCTCGCCTCTCCCCTCCCCGTCCCCCACGGACCCAGGCGCTTCAGCTGTGAGCCTGCAGCCCAGGAGACAGCAAGGACCAAGGACCATGACCTCTGAGCCAGATAGCTGCGCTGGCCAGACTGGGCTGCAAACAGTCTCCTTTGAACTGCTCCATCCCCCAGGGCTGGGAGGTGATGTCTCCAATTTCCAGATGATTAGACTGAGGGTCAACGAGATGGCAAGGGCTTGTTCAAAACCCCCCAGCTGATAATGGACAGCTTTAGGCTGAGGTCTGGTTCCTGGTCAGTAAGGGCTCGGTGGGACCAGGCCCAAAGAGACACAGCAGGACATCTGTCCCTGCCATCGAGGCATAGACTCTCGGGACTTGCACAGGCCGGGAGGGGAAGAGCAGAAGAGCAGCACCTGGTTTGGGGTCGGTCACCCCCTTGTAGTCCCAGACTCCCACGGGCGGCACTGTGCCTGCAGTTACAGGTCTCCTCCCCTAGAGGGGGCGGCTCCGGGCTGGCCCCGGCCCAGCGACAAGTCCTCGCTCACGTCTGACTTCTGGCCAAGGGCAGAGGTCCCCCGCCCCCCACCCTCCCGAATCCACACAGGAGATGATTCTGTATCCGAAAGCCACTTAGTCATCATCAGCTCCTCGCCCTGCTGCGCTAAAAACAGGCCGCGAGACACAGTGCCGGTAGCTAAAGACACCACGGGCAGTGAGTGACCAGTTCGGTCAAGATCCCGGAGGCAGCTCACTGCGACCATCACCCTGCCCTAACCCTTCAGGCATGGGTTGAAAACAGTCCCATTTGTTTTTGGTTTAATCTGAGAATCTGCCTTTAAGGGTGAGGGTGGCTCTGAGAAGTCCTGGCAGACCGCCCTCCCCTGACCTCTAGGTCAGTGGATCATTATTGAGAGGGATGCCTCCCTGCTGCTCCCCTCCTCCCTCCCGGGCAAGGGTGGAAAGGTGTGGCTTAGCAGGAAGCGGGGGACCCCTGGGTCGGAAGAACTCAGGAGCCCTGACAAGGGGAAGATCCCAGTCAGAGCCAGAACCACGCACCCTCAGCCGGCCCAGGCAGACCCTCAGTGAGGGAGGGATTTTCATAGCATCCCCAGCTCTGGCATCCTCCTCACCACCTGTGACACCCTTCCATATGGTCATTTGTGTTTTGAAATGTTCATTTTTTTAAAAAAAAAGACTTATTTATCTTTATTGCAAAGTTAGATATACAGAGAGGAGGAGAGACACAGAGAAGATCCTCCATCCAATGATTCACTCCCAAAGTAGCCGCAACAGCTGGAGCTGCACCAAGCTGAAGTCAGGAGCCAGAAGCCTCTTCCAGGTCTCGCACTTGGGTGCAGGGTCCCAAGGCTTTGGGCCGTCCTCAACTGCTTTCCCAGGCCGTCCTCAACTGCTTTCCCAGGCCATAAGCAGGGAGCTGGATGGGAGGCGGGGCCACCAGGATTAGAACTGGCGCCCATATGGGATCCCAACACATTTAGCCACTAGGCCACTTCATCGGGTCCTTTTTAAAAAAATATATATATATATGATTGAAGCCAGGGCCAAGATGAAGCCAGAAGCCAGGCACTCCAACCAGGTCTCCACATTTCTGTCATCACTGCCTCCCAGTGCATCTTAGCAGGAAGCTGGCAGAGGAGCCAAGGCCATCTGATACAGGGTAGACACCCCAAGCAGCATCTTAACCTTAGGAAATGTCCCTCCCTTTGCCTTTCCAGCTAAATGACACTCCATTGTGTGTACCTGCTGTGCCTCAGTTATCCGCCCTTCTGGTCATGGGAACTTGAATTGGAACATCGGTCTCTCCCTCTCTCTCTCTCTGTCACTCTGCCCTTGAAATAAATAAATACATCCTGAGAGAGAGAACGAAACACAAAAGGACAGTTATTGAAAGATTCCACTTACACGAGGTAGTCAGATTAGTCAAATCCACAGAGGTGGGGCTGTCACTGTGGTTAACGAATAAAATAACCACCCACAGTGCTGCCATCCCATACGGGCACCAGTTCGAGTCCCAAGTGTTCTACTTTTGATCCAGCTCCCTGCTCAGGTGCCTTGGAGAGCAGTAGAAGACGGTCCATGTACTCAGATTCCTGCACCCACATGGGAGACCAGGAAGAAGCTCCTGGCCCGTGGCTCCTGGCCCGTGGCTCCTCACCCGTGGTTCCTGGCCCGTGGCTCCTGGCCAGTGGCTCCTCGCCCATGGTTCCTGGCCTGTGGCTCCTGGCCTATGGCTCCTGGCCCGTGGCTCCTAGCCCGTGGTTCCTGGCCCGTGGCTCCTGGCCTATGGCTCCTGGCCCGTGGCTCCTGGCCTATGGCTCCTGGCCCGTGGCTCCTGGCCCGTGGCTCCTGGCCTATGGCTCCTGGCCCGTGGCTCCTGGCCCGTGGCTCCTGGCTTTGGCCTGGCCCGGCCCTGACCACTGTGGCCACGAGGGAAGTGAAAAAAGAAAAGAAAGAAGAACAGTGTTGGGTATCATTGCTCATCCTGTGAATGTGCTTGATGCCACTCAACTATATACTTAACAATGGTTAAAATGGTCCGTGATGTCTGTTTTACCACATTTTTCCAAAAACAATGCAAGACTAAACAAAGGACTTGGAAGAGTTCAGCTATAAGCCAGAGGCATTCCTCTACGGGTGGAGAAGGGCAGATAACTGAGTGTTATTAAGAGATACAGCCCAAGATACCTTTGAAACTGCTCAGCTTCTTTGGAACAATACACAATGCCATTCTTTCCCTATAGACTCAGCTCTATCTTGACCTCCTATTTACAGTTGAAAAAATGACTTCTCTGAGACTCGGTATCTCTCTCTCTGTAAAATAGAGAAAGTACACATACCCTCTTCAAATTCTCAGGAGAGTCAAAATGCTTACCACATGTAACGTGTTGACAACGGCGCCGGGACCAAGTACGTGCTGTGAGCCAACATGAGCAACTAAACTTTTCCCAGATTCAATTTTTAGAAAAACTTTCTATGATTCCTTTGAAAGGAAGAGCAACAGGGGAAAAGGGAGACACACAGAGAGAGGTCTTCCATCCACTGGTTCACTCCCTAACTGGTCACAATGTCTGGGGCTGGGCCAGGCTGAAGCCAGGAGCCAGGAGCTCTGACTGGGTCTCCTCTGTGGGTGCACGGTCATCTGCTGCCTTCCCAAAAACTTGAGGCAGGAGTTAGCTCTGAAGTGGGACAGGTGGAACTCCAAGCACAGCTCTGAGACCCCAGCATATTATTTCTAGATCCAGGGAAGTCCATTTGAAGATGGTGTTTCACATTTGAACAGGTTGGAATAGACTTGGTGTGGAGGAGTGGTTGTTAGATGTTCCCTGAGGTCCCCTCCAGGACACACCCAGGATTGGGCAATGTTGAGGGTCAGGGAACCTCCCGGCAGCAGCCCCAGGGGGACTGTTCCGGGGGGGCTTCCTCTGCTGACAGCACGATCCTG